GAAAAATTGCGAGTTTACTTAGTCCCGCGCAACCCTTACGCACGAAATGGACGTTGGAAGTCAAAAACTGAGGAAAAATTGCGAATTTGAGTTGTCAATCGCAACCCTTACGCACGAAATGGACGTTGGACGTCAAAAACTGAGGAAAATTGCGACTTTGAGTTGTCAATCGGAACCCTTACGCACGAAATGGACGTTGGACGTCAAAAACTGAGGAAAAATTGCGACTTTGAGTAGTCCCGCGCAACCCTTACGCACGAAATGGACGTTGGACGTCAAAAACTGACAAAAAATTGCAATTTTACTGTGTGTAAAAGCTTCTGTGTGTAAAAGGGTCTGTGTGTAAAGGAGTCTGTGTGTAAAAGCTTCTGTGTGTAAAAGCGTCTGTGTGTAAAAGCGTCTGTGTGTAAAAGAGTCTGTGTGTAAAAGCTTCTGTGTGTAAAAGCGTCTGTGTGTAAAAGCGTTTGTGTGTAAAAGCCTCTGTGTGTAAAAGCGCCTGTGTGTAAAAGCTTCTGTGTGTAAAAGCGTCTGTGTGTAAAAGCGTCTGTGTGTAAAAGTGCAAAAGCGTTTGGGTGTAAAAGCGTCTGTGTGTAAAAGCGCCTGTGTGTAAAAGCTTCTGTGTGTAAAAGCGTCTGTGTGTAAAAGCGTCTGTGTGTAAAAGCGCCTGTGTGTAAAAGCTTCTGTGTGTAAAAGCCTCTGGGTGTGAAAGTGTTGTGTGTAAAAAGTTCTGTGTGTAAAAGCTTCTGTGTGTAAAAGCTTCTGTGTGTAAAAGCGTCTGTGTGTAAAAGCGTCTGTGCTGCTTGAAACACATCTTTTTCGCTCCGGGCCAACCGTCGTCTGTTCCTCAGTTTTTGACGTCCAACGTCCATTTCGTGCGAAAGGGTTGCGCGCGACACCTCAAAGTTGTAATTTTTCCTCAGTTTTTGACGTCCAACGTCCATTTCGTGCGAAAGGGTTGCGCGCGACACCTCAAAGTTGCAATTTTTCCTCAGTTTTTGACGTCCAACGTCCATTTCGTGCGAAAGGGTTGCCGCCGACGCTTCAAAATCGCAATTTTACCTAGGTTTTGGACGTCCAACGTCCATTTCGTGCGAAAGGGTTGCGTTTCGTGGCGCTCCGGCGGCCCCGCCCCCGCCTTAAGAGAGAATAGAAGAAGAGCGAGAGGAGATCTGCAGATGTGAAGGTGTGAAGATGTAGATCGGCAGATGTGAGAGTGTGAAGATCTAGATCTGCAGGTGTGAGGGTGTGAAGATCTAGATCTGCAGGTGTGAGGGTATGAAGATCTAGATCTGCAGATGTGAGGGCGTGAAGATCTAGATCTGTGAAGGTGTGAAGATCTAGATCGGCAGATGTGAGGGTGTGAAGATGTAGATCTGCAGATGTGAGGGTGTGAAGATCTAGATCTGCAGGTGTGAGGGTGTGAAGATCTAGATCTGCAGGTGTGAGGGTGTGAAGATCTAGATCTGCAGATGTGAAGGAGTGAAGATCTAGATCAGCAGATGTGAAGGTGTGAAGATCTAGATCTGCAGGTGTGAAGGTGTGAAGATCTAGATCTGCAGATGTGAAGGAGTGAAGATGTGAAGGAGTGAAGATCTAGATCCGCAGATGTGAAGGAGTGAAGATCTAGATCAGCAGATGTGAAGGAGTGAAGATCCAGATCAGCAGATGTGAAGGAGTGAAGATCCAGATCAGCAGATGTGAAGGAGTGAAGATCTAGATCAGCAGATGTGAAGGAGTGAAGATCTAGTATAACGGCTGCTTTTTTACGAAGAACCCTTCGCAGGCGCTCTCGGGAAAAACACAGTATGTCTCGCCTTTTCTACCTCTTCACACACCTGCATCTTCTTTCTTCTAACTTTTTTTCTTCTCTGACTCTTCCCACCTCTGCGTTTCCATCTGTCCATATCCAAATTGTCAGAAGTTTGACTTCTAAACTTCCTTCGATGAAAATCATGATGATTTTGGAAGGACAGCAACTAGGGTCGATTGGCCGTGTAGCAGGAGCTTTACCTTTCCTAGGTTCTCAAAATGTCTGGCCATGAGAATAATACGAACAATACTTCCATTTAGGACACGGTTAACCCTAAATATGGAGCGCACTTGAATCTGAATAACCAATTCTCGACTCAGTGTTAAGATAAATCATAAGGTTCACCCTGACATTCCCTCTTCCATTCCCCACATCTTTGTGTGGGGTTCTTGTTTTTGATTCTGTATCCCGCTCCCGCCCGCTCCTACCGGCCCCGCCGCCTCCACACACAACTTTGTCACACACCCTCTTTCACACACAACTTTCACACACACCATCTTTCACACACAACTTTGTCACACAGTCTCTTTCACACGCAAATTTGTCACACACCATCTTTCGCACACAACTTTGTCACACACAACTTTGTCACACACCATCTTTCACACACAACTTTGTCATACACATCATTTTTTAAAAACAACTTTGCGTGGCAGGCGTGGCACTTCGTGACCTCCACCTTCGTTTCACGTGGCAAGCGTGGCGCTTGGCGACATCTACCTGCGTTTCACGTGGCAGGCGTGGCGCTTGGCGACATCCACCTTCTTTTCGCGTTTCAGGCGTGGCACTTATGGCACTGGGCTGGCTCTGGTGGCACGCTTGGGCGCCGCTTGGGCTCGGTTGACGCCGCGGCACTTTGCGTGGCAAGCGTGGCAAGCGTGGCAAGCGTGGCACTTGGCAACATCCACCGTCGCTTTGCGTGGCAGGCGTGGCACTTATGGCACTGGGCTGGCTCTGGTGGCGTGCATGGGCGCCGCTTGGGCACCGTTGGTCGCGCGGTGACGCCGCGGCACTTTGCATGGCAGGCGTTGTAGCACTTGGCGACATCCACCTTCACTTCGCGCGGCAGGTGTGGCACTTGGCGACATCCACGTTCACTGCGCGTGGCAGGCGTGGCGCTTACGGCACTGGGCTGGCTCTGGTGGCGCGTTTGGGCGCCGCTTGGGCAGGCGTGGCACTTGGCGACATCCACCTTCACTTTGCGTATCAGGTGTGGCACTTCACGACATCCACCTTCACTTTGCGTGGCAGGCGTGGCACGCCTGCGACATCCACATTCGTTTTGCGTGGCAGGCCACCTTCGTTTTGCGTTGCCGGCATCCGCATTCTCTTTGCGTGGCAGGCGTGGCACTTGCGGCACTGGGCTGGCTCTGGTGGCGCGTTTGGGCGCCGCTTGGGCGCCAACGCCGCGGCGCTTTGGGTGGCAGGCGTGGCACTTGGCGACATCCACCTTCGTTTCGCGTGGCAGGCATGGCACTTGGTGACATCCACCTTCGTCTTGCGTGGGACTTGCGCGCATCAGCCTCCGTTTGGCGTGGCAGGCGTGGCACTTGGCGACATCCACCTTCGAGGCAGGCATGGCACTTGGTCACATCCACAAGTGAAGTTGCGTGGCAGCTGTGGCACTTATTCACGTCGGCCTACGTTTTGTATGTCTTACTTTTGTGCCAGCGATGTTTGCGCGTGTTGCAGCCATGTTTGGCCATGTTTTTCTTGCATACAGTGTTTGGCTGTATCAGCTACTTCGTCACTTGGTTATCTATGTATGGTCTGGTCGCCTTGGCTCAACGTAGGAAGAGACCTTGTGTACATTTGATAGATACTTTGTGGAAGCGATGCTGGCCTGTTTCTGCACGTTTGAGAAATACTTAGTGGAAGCAATGCTGGCATGTTTGGCATGTTTCGCTTTGGCCCAACGTGGGAAGAGGCCTTGTGCATGTTTAATAGAAAGGTTCTGGAAGCGATGCCGGCATGTTTCGCAATGTTTCGCTTTGGCCCAATGTGGGAAGAGGCCTTGTGCATGATTGATCTTTGATCCGCAAGGTAGCTAGATTGCAAAATTGTTTTGTAAATTTCTGGTTGCCATGTTGTTTTCCTGCATGAAACAGTGTCAGGTACCTTTCCCAGCCCGTGGGCATTTTGACCCAACGTGGGAAGAAATCGCGCAGTTGACGTTGGCGGTGCACCAAAAAAACCGGTGCGTATTTGTGCAGTATGTGCGCGCCAATGAGCTCGTCGTTTCAGGCCTTCCGAATAGTTTTCCTTCACACCTGTCTTTGAGTTCCAGAAAACGTGGCTTTGATACTTCAGCAGCATTCCGAACACATTGGTTATGCACCGGATGGAAAACTGAATCACCTGCATTGCTTGTGACGTGCTGTCTTTGCATTGTGTTTTCTAAACTTGATCTGCATTTGCATCGCGCCCAGGCTCCCCTTCCATCTTCGCCATGGCCACACACACACACCATCTTTCACACACAACTTTGTCACACACTCTCTTTCACACACAACTTTGCCACACACTCTCTTTCACACACAACTTTCACACACACCATCTTTCACACACACTCTCTTTCACACACAACTTTGTCACACACTCTCTTTCACACACAACTTTCACACACACCATCTTTCACACACACTCTCTTTCACACACAACTTTGTCACACACTCTCTTTCACACACAACTTTCACACACACCATCTTTCACACACACTCTCTTTCACACACAACTTTGTCACACACTCTCTTTCACACACAACTTTCACACACACCATCTTTCACACACACTCTCTTTCACACACAACTTTGTCACACACTCTCTTTCACACACAACTTTCACACACACCACTTTCACACACACACCATCACACACACACACACACTCTTTCACACACAACTTTGTCACACACTCTCTTCCACACACAACTTTGTCACACACTCTCTTTCACACACAACTTTGTCACACACTCTCTTTCACACACAACTTTCACACACACCATCTTTCACACACACTCTCTTTCACACACAACTTCTCGATCCTCCACCACCTCCTCTGTCTTTCCTTTCTTCCTCGTCCCGCTACAACATTTGTTGCTCATTATTGGAAGAAGTTGACTTGGGGTTTTCTGGTCCTTTCATTTTGTCTTCAATGCTATCCGTGTTGGACAAAAAACAACCAGAATGTGACAAAAACGACCCATATCGAGCAAGCAGGACGAGGTCAGTTTTCTTGTCTCGCCGGGCGTCTGATCCGCATATCAAACCCTACTTCAATCGGAGTGAGACTTGAACAGCTCAGGGTTTTGTTCCTGGTAATGTTGTACCAGAGCACTTTAGCTGACTCCGGGGGATTTCAATTGTGCAAAACATTCAAAGCCCCGCGCCTCCGAGCAATGCCGAGCATGGAAATTTGCAGCGGCTTCAAGTCGTCTGGGCTTGGCATCAAATTTTTCGACGTGCGCCGGAACTTGGAAAGTCTGCAAACCCCTAGGTTTTGCAAAGTGACAGTGGCACTACTGGCGCTATGAGTGGGTCTAATCTCAAAAGTCCTGTGTCGCAAATATGCGTTTTGAAATCGAGAGCATCACACAAGATCATGGTTCTTTAGTAAGTTGGTCAGCACACCTCTGAAGATCACAGCGGCCAAACAAACTCTTTGTAACTAGTACAGGTGCATACACCTAAACGGAACTGGGGCAAGCAATAGCGACATGGTCCACCGTGCTGCTTTGGTACATCGTGAATTTTGACATGAAATCTTGCTCAAGCAGTTTGGCAGAAGCACCCAGCTTGTAGAAGTCGAAGTCTCAAAACGAATCATTGCCGAGTTCGGTCAACCATGGTGTACCACACCCACACGTTGTTCCATTCATTCCAGTGAAATAGAATGCTTGAAGGTGCAGGCAGGGTCTTTGAACAGCTGCTGACACACCACCTCTGTTCACGGTGGATGCCGTTGCATGCTGGCTTCGAAACTACTTCGACAAACAGAGGAAAATCTGTCTCATCATCGCGCAGCGTGTTTGTCAAACGCACAGCACGGGCTAAAGCCAACGGTGCCTTCGAAGTGACCAGGCTCAAAATGTTGTAGATCTTGAGCAATTGGCAGGAAGCAAACATATGGGCTGAAACGTGCTGCAAAAGACTACACACATTGAAAGCAGGCATTGCACATGATCGGAGAATCCTAGCAAAACTCAATCGACTTAGGAATGTCCAAATGCGGGCATCAAAGAGTTGTGTCGCATGCAGTTCCTAAACAATCCAGAACGCAGGAGCTACTCAACATTCCTCACAGCACTCTTGGAATGCCATGCCGCAAAGAGTACATAAAGACTTCACGCGATTGAATGAATAAATGTTGAGCGCAAATCCATGCAAATCCGGCAAAAACAAAATTTTGGGGTGCTGAGTTGGTAGCAAATAAAATTTGATGACGCTTGAAGAAAGGCACCAACAAGTGCCAGTGATGGTTCTAGTGGTGAGGGGCAAGCAAAAGAACTGGAAGTTCTCCTTGAATGGAAGCTCTAAACTCTAAACAAACTCAGCTTTCAAATGATCCTGCTGCGAATCCATGTCAAATTAGAGTTGGCAACTCACAGGGCTGGAAACATCTCAAGGCGTTACTTGAAGAAAACAAAGGCAACTCCTCATTACACGGAGTTTTCACGATGCACACTTCACGGACTGAATGTGATGTGCCAAAAGTCTTGCGATGTGCAAACCAGTCCCCTCTCCAGCACTTTGAACTGGGACGCAGTAGAAGTCATCTGAAGAATGCGACATGACCCGCAAGCCTCTGCAACGGCCGGTCCAGCCGTCTCGAAATGAAGAATGTCGACAAGTTGTGTTCGGTTCGACAAACACTCTTGAATCTGGAGCCTATGGCATCTGCGCTGGGCCATGACGCAGCCTGGCATGACGGAGCTTTGTGATTCGTTTTTACCACCAATCCAATGAACCCTGGACGATTCACAGCGCTCAAGCCCCCATAAGGAGCTTGGCTTTGAGGAAAGAGTGCCTGCCTCTTGGTTCTCTTTCAAATTGGAATTCAAAAGCGTCCCAAACTCTGGAGCAATTTGGCAAATTCAGAGCCAACTCCCTATCCTGCGGAGCATCATTTCCGCAGCCAAGAAACATTGCGATGGGCAAACCATTTTGCGCTGGAATGAGTTAGAAGCCATCTCCTGGTTGCAGAGAGACATGGAAGCTTCTGCAACGACCAGTTGCCGTTTCAGGACACACAAATCAGGCTAGTTGTCTAGAAGTGAAGGGAGTTGCGTCTGCATTGAGTCATGACACAAACTAGGTCGCTTCAATTACAACGGTGAGTGAGTTTTAACTTAGCGAAAGAGAGCTGTACATAGCCAACAGGGATGTAAGCACTGTATACAGCCAACCCCGAGGGCAGATTCAAGCAGAAAATCCGTGGCTTGCGAAAGCACTCAGGATTTTAACATCCACAAAGCAATGTGTGTGATCACGCTCCAGAAAGCCCTAACGAGGCGAGCTTCTGAAGGGTTTAGCAAAGTTGGCAAATTTCATGAAACATATTTTGCTGCAAAGTATGGCAAATTTTGAACAGGAAACTGAGAGTTAACGGAGACCTTGTGTGAATTTCGCCCGTCTCAGACATCTGCAGAGAGGTCCGACCTTTGAAACAAAAGCAAACTCCCTCAAGCTCCTCATGGAGAAAGTGTCAAAGAAATAAACGCGCGCAAACTTGGCGGTCATATTGTGGCTCTCGTGGCTCTTGTCAGCCAAAAGTTGCGGGAGTTCACAACAGGCAGTTTCAAGCTTCAGTGCTTCAGCGGGATTCAGCTGGCCAGCGGATGTCTGTAGTTCTAAGGTACACAAGGAGTTTCATGAGCGACAGCAAAATCGAGACGTGTCCGAAACTCCACGACTTTAGGGATGTCTGAAGGCGAAGGCTCGAAAACTCGTTTCCTGCAGCTGGGGGGTTTGAAAGGCTTGGAAGGTGAAAGGATGTGAAAGGTGGAGCAATGTCAACCCATCCTCCAACCCATCCTCACTGCCTTGGCAAGGGCGTCATAGAACTCGCAGTCTCGGTCAAGAGTAAAGCCGCCATCCGTCCACAACACTCAACTCCAAGCATCGCTGGGATAAGCAAAGATTAAGCACTGGACCAAACATGCGTCAGGGGAAATGCACAGGCTTGATTCTGATAGCTCCAATACGTTTAATTCCACGTACCTGTAATGAACATCAATGAACCTTTGGTGGCTGAATCTCTTGCCGTGGGATCCTTGAAATGACTTCTTGGGTGCCGCTCAGCGGCGCGGGGAACACTTGCAGATTGCAGTGATTGCAGGGTCAATGGGGAAAACATTCGCTTGTTTGAGATCAAACTGTGACGAGTGGCAAGCCCAAGTATATCAGCGAAAGCTCACTTTTCAGGGCTTCGGGAACATCGCTGAAGATGGTGGCCGGCCGCCAGCCCCTTCAGTGAGGGCGGTTTGCCATGTCCTAGATCACTGCAGAAGGGGCCCGCTGCCAGACTCCCTAGCGAGGTCGCTGAATCTCGAAGGGCACTGAGCGGGCAACAACTAACCTGATGCGTCAACAAGCAAAACATGTTGTTGATGAAATGGCATCAAGTCTCTCAACAAAATGTGTTCATAGTGTTCTCCTTGAAACGCGTGGTGTTTTCATTGGACCTGAATTCTGGTAAATCCCGCTCGGAAACCAAAGTTTTCACACAAGCACTGTGTGAAGGCACTACACGCGCCAGGTCAGTGGTTAGTGCAACAGGTGTCTTGCGAGCCGGCGGCGTCTCCAGCAACATATCTCCACGACTAGTTTCTGGAACAATGTTGCCCCCAGTTTGCAATGGTTGATATCATGAAATGTCTGTAAGGTCGCTTTTTACCCAAGTGAAGTAATTATGAATGTGCATCCTTTGATGAACCAAGTGGCATTGGTTATTCAATCAACTTGCAGCAATGTGATGAAGCATACCCTTGACGTCTTTACAGTCTTGTTTAACTAGATGTTAACTAGACACTCCATAGTCCCTTGCCAGCGCCCTCATCTAGCCGACCTAGCCCACTTCGCACTGGTCACAAACTCAAGACTAGGCTGTTCGGGGTCGACTCCAGCATATTTCTGCTTCTGCGCTTCCAAAAAGCAAATCCAAGCCGTCCTTTCCAGAAATTGGAGGGCTCTCTTGGGATTCTTCGGGAACACCCAAATGGTCGACATGAACACGCCAAAGCGCATTTTCGAGTGAGTCTACAAACGTTCACTTCACCTTTTTCTTTTTTCTTTGTAGATTATTCCCCCATGGAAGCAATGTCCTACAAGAGCTTTCAACTCAATCAAATTGACAGTGAGCTCCTATGCCTGTCGAGAGCTTCTCAATCGGACATTCACACAGAAACTCATGGAGCCGGAGCTGTGGTTTTCTCTGGAACTTTCAAATCTTTCAATACCAATTCTGCACCCGGACACATTTGGAGAATTTGATTCCAACCTCCGACGACGTGAACATCGCATTCTGGAATCGTGTTGGCCTCTGGAAAATCCCAAATCAACATCTAAAGACCGTGTGGATCAAGGGAGACTCAGGTAGACTGAAAGGCAAGATCAAGCGAATCCTGCTTGCCAGACGGGAAAATCACAGCACCCAGGCGCCCGATGCCACGTCAGAAGCGGAGTCTGGAAAGTGTGGATAGTGTGGATAGCGACAGCGCTTCCAGAGCTCAAGCTGACCGCATCTGTGGCAGCTTTCGGGTAGCGGCTAGGAAATCCTTCGCTGGCGTTTGCCCAACAGTTTGGTCAACTTCCAGCCCTACGCGCCTGAAAATGCTTCTGGGGCATCTCAGGAATATAAACAGCTTCTGCAAAGACAGAACAGCACACCGCACACATTGCACAATTGTGAAAACTCCTCAAGGATCGCGTGTCATGACCAACAGGCGTCCACAGCATGAGATCAGCACTTCAACTTTGCTTGTAGGACTGCACCAAACCTAGCAGAGAACAGGCCCCAGACAAGAAAAAGTTCAATTCAACTGTGTCAATGCTTGTGACCTGCAAGTGTAAAAGCTGAGTCCGAGCACGCTTCGACAAAAGACATCGGATCCAGTTTCAAATTCCAGCTTCGTGGCCGACAGCGCACTCCACGAGCTCCTCGCAGCACAGCATTTGGCGTTTGCAGTGCCGCTTTGAACTCTGCTGGAGGTCTTTCCAAGTTTCACCCTTACAGTAAGCGAAACCGGCTAAACCAGCTTCCAGTTCTGTGCGGAATCCGGAATATGCATCAGATCCGTTGCGCCTTTCTCCACCCATCAACGTCTAAAACACTTGCTTCCACATAATGTTTCACCGTCACATCTCCATCAGGCGCGCCGCAGCGGGCACTGCACCTGTCGCAAACTCTAATCAACTGTGGCTACTGCCTGCTCCAACATGAAACCATGCTGTGTGCACTTCAAATTCCACATGAACACAGCTAAAATGCCTGCGGTTTGCAAACGTTCTCCAACAGCTGCAGCTCTCTGACCGCCAACGGGAACGGCCAACGGAACACGGGACAATGGGACAACGGGGCAACAGGACAACGGGAACGGGACAACGGGACAACGGAACGGTCAGTACCGAACGCATCCTCGAGAGGATGGGAACAAAATGACTGCCATAGGCTGCCCATGGCTATTGCCCATGGCTGCCAGGTTTCTTTGTGTCGCTCTTCGAAATCGGTGAAGTTTGCAGCTTCATACTGCAAGGGGTTGAATGAAGCATGCCTGCTCGACACCCAATGGAACCTGTGGATCATGTGCGGCCGCAAGCGCCAAGGACAATATGAGAATTTGACATCTGACTAGTCTGACCCTTACGTTCTCTGAGCAGAGAGCCATTTTGATGGTTTTGTGGCAAGATTTGCCTTCACCAGCTGCCAGCTCTGCTTGTTGAAGGCACACCATGTTTTCTTCAATGCTGCACCCCAGAATGGTCATTGCAAGTTTACTGGTTGATATGTTTCCTCAAAACTTAGGGTTCTTATGATACATGCCCCCAAGTGTTCATTGGGGAGGCTTACCATTCGTCGCTGCGCTCGACAGCATTGCTGGTATCTACTCACCGCCTTGCCTGTCATGAGTTTCCCTAGTGGTCCAGTGGGCTGTCACCCGTTGAATCTTTGGAATTTTGATCTTGGGACTGATTGCTTACTCCTCTACGGGAGTCTCTGCAATTTGTTGGATACACTTGGAAGGTATTAAGCTTGGGCTGCAAAAAGTATGATGATATAGCTTTGGAGGGAACGCCGCTGTCACAATGTACACATCCTGCATCCAAACAAGTTGGTACAATCACTCGACACCTCAAAGTTCACTGGCTTGCTTGTCTGAAAGAGAGCAGTGAACTGTGATATTTGTGACGTAGTTGCAGCGTACCAAGCGTTCCAAATGTACAAGCACTTGAAGCGTCCATGGAACCCTGCCGGCATCTTGCAGCAACTTCTGCTTAAAGATCTTGCTGAGGGGCAAGGGACCAATCCCAACAGATCTTGCCATGGCAGATATGGCAGTGCCGACTCACAGGAATTCAGTGTGCTGCACTTGTCATGACATGTCATGACTGAAGCGATGCGGACTTGCAACACATGGCAGGTTGGCGGCATGGCCTGGCGACCTTCCGATTTGTAAATTTCGGCCGAAAACATGCTGCCAAGGCCATCAGGCCGCACAAAAACGACACTCTCCACTCAAGGCGAAGTCTTCCAGTCGATGTCACTGCACGGTTGACATCCTTCACGTGCATCATGTGCTTCGCGAACACAGAATTTCTCTGTGTTGCGATCTGATGCCAATCAAGGTGCACGGTTGCGTGGGCAAAGCAAAATTCTGTTTGAATTATTCAACTCGTTGGTTTGTCAAGAAGAACAAAGGCAAATAGCTGAAAGCAACGGCTGAAAGCCGCGTTCTTTTTGCAAATCGCTGCGGAGAGTAAGGCTACGCGAGGCTACAAAACACTGACAGGTAGGCTACGCGGGCTTTGCGGGCGCAGGCTATGCGATGCAACAAAGGAAACTCGGGAGG